GTCAAGAGAAGTCCTGCATTATAGGAATGACATGATAATTTTCCTAAGTTAACCAACTAAATTTTAAAGTCTGATAGAAATTTCTATGAGTGGTAGGACCTTTGAATACAATGTCTACCAGTCCAACAATGAACAAACATTATCTTTGTGTTTCGTATTAGACTACTTAAGTGTAAAAATAAAGAAAATGGACAAATCAGTGGAAATATTTTAGTATACGTGTTTTCCAATGGTAACATAATGCTTCTACAGAGCATTTGGATGTTGAGCAAGCCAAAACTGTTGTCCTAATAAGCCTAAAAGAATGCCGACAGATGAGTTTCTCAAACTATGAAAAATCTGTCTGTCAATGTTGTTCTGACATTTCTAATTAATATCTCACAATGGTATACTGTCTAAAATGTGAACCTTAAGCCACGATTGTTTTTAAATTATAAATTGCCATGCACAGATCCAAATTTAAAGAAATAAAAGTTTGACATATTGAACAACTCTTAAACTGTTGCTCTTGACAATTGTTTTTATTTGTTTCAGAAAATATTTCGCAATCAGAAATACTATCATGCAACATGTCAAATTTAGTTCTATACAAGAAAACACATGTTTGACAATATGGAAAACACTTGTACTAGCTTGTTTTTGATAAGTGTTTTTAGTTGTTTAAGAAATGGTTTCGCAATCAGAAATGCTCATTTCATTTCTCTCTTAGTTCACCTTATCTGAATTCTATACATTCTGATATGGTTCAATATAAACTAACCAAAACACTTTTGGTATTATTTTTGTGACTTCAACCCAGTCATTTGGTTAAACTAAAAGTAACTCAGAAAAATTTTGCATTTGTCCACAGATTTGACAAAACAAAATGAATGAGATTTATATAATCACATCTTTCAAAACAATATTGAATAAAAATATAAACTAACTGTTAATAAACACATTTCAATTTTGTCTATTATATTCTTGCATAAAATACTAACTCTATGCCAGATATTTAATATTATTTCTGCAACTGCAAAAGTTGTTAGATAATTGTCTGGTCATTATGAAAATTGAATAGTGAATACCCTCAATTTTGGGATTAAATCACACCCAATCTATTTGGAAACCTTCCTGCATGTAGATAAGTCACAACTTGACTTTGACAAGACTAGAATTTTTGTACTCTTTTGTGTAATAATGAACAAAAATAAAAATAAACAGTGACATTTTAAATTTAGATATTTACAAATGTCTTGCACTTATAATCATGGAATTATCATATTGCATTTTACTTCCACTTACTAACAGACTATTTAATGTTATTTGCTAACTATTAATCAGTCTTTTAAATAAACTGCTTTTCATGTATTTTTCTTTTAGATTAACTGTTTCTGTAGGTGCTAAAATATGAGAAGCAATTGAAATATATATATGTTTATTGGTACAATGTAGCCCAAAAGACCTCTTCTTTTTCCTGCATCTTGTAAAGACTGGCTAAAAAGAAGATTTATATAAAGAGATGTATTAGATAGTTCATTGCTCAATCTTGTAAACTATACTCCAATCTCCACGTCAATGTCTAGTATTTTTAATGAATCTTGCATCAACAATGCTTTATATTTTCTGTATTTATTTAGTAATATTTTACTATTTATATCTAATTTGTGCAGAATCTATATGATATGCCTTTATTCTTAATCTAAATTCTCAAAAAACAAATCCTAATGATAATCTAGTTTTTTTTTTTTTTTTTTTTTTATATATCAGTATCTTTGAGTCCTCTATAGTTCAGCTTTCTAATTCAATATAAACTTGAGGAAAAACTTGTAGCAGTTTGATTAGCTGTTTTAACTAGCAATCTCACATTAAGATTGAAAACAGACCCAATGAAGATAGCAGAATCTTGTCAAACTTGTTGTCATTGCTTTGAAAACAAGACGTAAAGGCTATTTTCTAACTTTTAAAGAGCTTCCCAAAAATCTCTTCCTTTCATGATTGGAAGATACATGTATTATTTGTCAGTGATTCTCATATGGTGAGGGTAAAATATACCCTTAAGTCTTATGTTATCACCTTTTTGTGTATTCAAGGCAAAATAGCACAAGTACATATGTCATATGCATTGGCAATGTACACTCTGATTTATGTAATCAAAATATAAGCCATTTCCGTGAATCGAGTCTTTGTGAAATGCACCATAATGGCAATGATCCCCTAAACTCGTCTGAACCCAAGAGACAACCTAATGTTTACTTAAAAACTTATAAAAATCTGTGTTTCATTAATGCACACAAACAACCAATTGGTCATAGCATTACATACTGATAATATTAATGTTCTTCTTGTCAGTAATAAACTAACTTTGAAAATAAAAAAAATATAATATGAGTTGTCACAAGCTATCAACAGGTTTTAGAACAGTGTTCCATTCTTACTGACTCAACATATTAGTAGTTTCTTAACAACTGTAAGAGAATAATTTATCAGTAAAGAAAAATTTACAGCAGGTTCCTGCTCCAAGAAAATATTTCAGACTTCTAAGAAGTTACTGTCCTGATTAAATCTGGACATAATTATAAATTTTGTGTATTGACATGTTTAAACTACATACACATTTGTAAGAACTAAATAACTCTGTACTATTTCAGTGTTTTTTATCTGTCTTGAACTTTTGCAGACACTCTTTCAATATATTATCTGAACTGCATGTTAGTTCATCACAAAAATCAATGTGCAACCAAAAATTAGCTAAGATCAAAATGTGTGTTGTACTAAACATGCAACCTGCTTGTGCTTGCAAGTTGTTTTAAATACAATAAAGGTAGACCTACGTTATCTAGATGGAACGATTTCTACAACAATCAGATAGACCTGGACTAAAATTCACTATTCTGATTCGATTTAATTTTATTTCAGTACGTCAAATACTATAAAAGTTGTATTTTCAAGAATGATCTATGCTCCTAAATATCAATGTGCGATCAATTAATAATTATGATTTTTAGGAAAGATCAAATCTGTACAATGCATGCACATACAGATCCAAAATCATGCATGTTGTTCTAGTTCCTACGTTCCCTGGATGAAACGATGTCAACATTAATCAGATAGACTTGGGCAAAATCCCTATTCTAATTTTAATTTTATTTGTGTTGCATCAACCACTTTCTATTTTCAATAAATATGGTATATGTTCCCTAAATGGAAGGTTAACCAAATAAACATAATCAGTTCTGGGCAAATTCCCTATTCTGATTGTGATTTATCTATCAACTTTTAATGTAGTATCAATTTTGGTCTACGCTCCCTGTATGGAACGTTATCCAAATAAAACAATCCTTTATGGGCAAATTCCCATTTCTGATTGAAATTTATTGAATCACTTAAGGTTCTAGTGACAATAGTGGTCTACGCTTCCATAAAGATCCACATTAAAATAATTAGATCTGGTCAAAATACCTATTCTGATTGTAAAATAGTGATGTGTTTACTCCCGTCTCGTGTAAAGACTGTAAACAATCAACTCATTCTAACTTCGTGACAATAGTGGTCTACGCTCCCATAAGGACGTTAACCACATTAAAATAATCAGATCTGGTCATAATACCTATTCTGATTGTAATTTAGTGCTGTGTTTACTCCGTCTTGTGTAAAGACTAAACAATCAACTCATCCGAACTTTCCACTTGACCCGTTTCGTAGATTGCTCAAAACAGCTAAAATTCGGTCAGCGTGGAAGAAGAATTTAAACATACGTTTATTTTTATAAAAGTAGTACTCATGTAACATGTCCGATTTTGACAGAAAAGTTCTGCCTTTCCTCGCACCGGACTAAAATTTTGAAAATGGCGACTTAACAAAGGTTAATTTCTAGGTCGTCGTTGTTACAGACTCGTAATGTTGACGTGTATATCAGAACTTGACAAAAGCACTGTATAAACATAGAAATAATCGTAAAACGATATTCCAAAAAACAAATAATGTTTTTTTATAAAACATAAGGATTTTCAACAGTAGACTGTTAAAAATCCTTGTCTACGAGAAACATGCGTTCACTTGAACGCAAAAATTAAAACTGAAGATATTGTGTGTTACACAGGTAAATTATGACGTAGGTGAGTACATCTTATGGATGTAATTTTTAATCACCTAGTTAATTGGGATGAGAACATGTTCTGAAAGCAAACATATTCTATATAATATAAATGTAATTTCATGGTAAGTATATTTAACCAAATTCATATAAAATGAGTACCACTTCATTCTTGTATGTCCAGCCTACAGAACTGTGAGACTAGAATATTCGCCAAAAAATTATGGTTCTTTGCAAAATACCTTTAAACTTTTTCATTTGCTTCAAGAAAAATCTTAATCAATTACAATTAAACTGTGTAATTATCCGAATCATAAGATGATGTATTGTGAATTAATTGTACCTTTATTACATTATGTATTGTTCTCTGCTATCTGTCGTTTTGTCATACTGTATATACTTGTCTATTTATTGCCATAGCATGTTATTTATGCTTTTGCAAATAAAATATTCATTCATTCAACACTGAATTTTTTCTTTGGTATGTTCTATTTATTTAACTTAGCAATCTAGGTGGAGATAATTCAAGATAATTCTGTTCTATAAAAGAATGCTTTGTATATTTTCCTATTTTGCTTTGTAGCAAGAAAACATGACCTGTGACCCGAATTTTTATTTTTATTTTCTAAAGCACATTAAAAGAGATATCTTCTCAAATCTCATTTCAAACTTCTATTTTAGGTTTCTTTCTATTCACAGACAACTGTATTTTCATGTATAATGTATTATCCAAAACCTTTCAATTTTGATAAACCTATAACTTGAAAATTAGCTCTATGAATCATACCTTTTTGATATATTTTTGAAAAAAGGATGATATAAACTTCATTTTTGCATAGTATTTGAATATTCTATTGTTTTTAGTTGTTCTTTGTTTTATGGTTTGTATTAATCAATGCATCAAACTTTGTAATCTCATACTCACCTCTTGACAACCCAACAACCTTGTACTAGTACAGCTACTTGATGAAGTGATCGTAATGCAGCACCAGGATCTGTTCCCTGAGGTAGTAATGTTATCAACTGACTAAAAGTTATAACTTTGGCTGTAAGATAAAATAATTTATGGATACTATGGATTCATTTATTTTATTGGGTACCAATTTTCGGGGATTGAAGAAAAATTGTATTTTTGTGGATATTTGACATGGTTTGCCAAAATCTACAGTCAAACATATATAAAATTTGTACTTTTTTCTCATTTAAACATTTAAATTTGTGGTTCAAATTAACCCAAGAAATCCATGAGAATTGGAATCCAAAGAATAATAATGATTCCACAGTATAAAATTCTATGAAACTTCAAATTAAAAAAAAAGTTGAATATGTTTTATATACTTGAATGGCTAAGTTTTACTATAAAACAAGTGTATGTGAACTTTCTTATAAAAGAAAATCCTTTATACTATCAAAATCTTCATAGATATACTGCTATTGAATAATTGTCTTCCGGTACCAATATTATCCCATATGTAGTGACCTTAACCACAAGACCTCTCATTAGAACTTCGGTCTCCACCCGTAAACTTCGGCAACACAATCAAAAGTTAATGGGCTTCCTATCAACACTCACTGAATGAAATATTATTTGTCGATAATAGGCTATAGGTTTGTAATAAATATAAAAAAACATTCATGCAGGACTTAGTTTAGTATATATGCATTCATTGGTTCAATATTTCTATAACATTAACATTACAAGAAACTCGTTTCATAAGACTTTAAAACTTCAAATTCATTAACGGTTACTCAGAACCCTGTGTCTTATCTGTGATTGCTGCAGTCAGTTTAAAATTGTAATGTTGACTTTAATATATATGTCAATTTATCAGTAAAATATAGATTTTGTTTTTTAAATTACATTTTTTTCTTCATATGATATTTATTGATATTGAAGATTAGCTTCTATTCCAAGTTTCATAACAACCCATGAAGGTTTACAAATTTATCATGTAAAAAAATTTAAGCCCAGAAAAATACTGAAAATGAAAAAAAAAATATTTTCAAAATTTTGCTTTAAACCAAGGCTTCCAAAACGGTCATCTACTTTTTAGTTTTCAAGGCTTTCTTAAGAGACGGTCATTTTAACATAATTCGCGATCTTGTTGACCCAACATTTTGCCTTTAACAGCCACACATTTCCCGTCATAAAAGTGACATGATCATTAAGTACTATCAAAACAACCCCTACTTTAATACCTTCTCATTTTAATCAAGGCTAATTAGTTGTCGAACAGCTGAAATTTACCTGTTCAGGTGACAGGTAAACTATTTTGAACCGGACATTGATCGGTCTATTCAAAGTTATTTTCTTACATTTCAGCGGTTTGCATCTAATTAATTTAGTCAAAAAGATTTAAATTATCGGAAATACGTTTACAAATATGATTTGATGAAAAAATTAAAAAGGTGAAAATGAAAAATCGTCATAACCATGTTGTTTGAACCAGAGACATGTCTCTGTTTGAACTAGTTCACGTGTGCGCATGTGCGCAGGTGTGACATTTAATTATGCATTCTAATTTCTTCAAAAAATGCTTAAATTGTCTTTGATACCTTTATCTCATGTTTATTTCGAATATATTCTTGAAGAAATAACGTAGAAAGATTTCACACTTTGTAAACGTATACGGAATTTACGTATCCGTCTCTGGTCCATGTTTTACCATTGTCAAGATAACATCCGGTATTACTTCAAAAACGAAAGTACAGTTTTTGACAACGTTATTTTGCACAAATAAAGAGTCTAAGGCAGATATAAGTACGCTGATGTTGCACACTTCGAATGATGCACTGCCAATTTAACAGTTTACGTCAGAACTTCAAATTTGAATCAAAGAAAGTTTAATATCATTTTTTTTAATGTCAATCATTGGGATGGCCAACTCGGCAACTGATTACCATAATTGCCTTTTGTTTATTTTGTCTTAATGGATTAAAATCTGGATAATATATAAAATGTCTGGCTGGCTAAAAATAATTTTGGAAGCCCTGCTTTAAACATTATCTCTTTAAATCATAAAAAAGCTTCTGCCAAAGTTCCATACAATTGATTAATAACAAACCTTTCTAAAATTGTTGCTTTATAAATTCTAAAATTATAAAGAAGCTTAAGTTTCAACTCCCTCAGCCAAAGTTGACCTTAGATGGATTTGGCTATTTTTTCAGTACTTATTGGTTATATAGCTCTTCAACTGTTTCGGTTCTTATACATCCTCGGCTTTTAAATATTCTGCCTTGAGCACTCCTGATGAAGGTAAATCCAGAAAAGCGCTTCAGATGCATGAAATTAATAACGTGTTGTTTTCACTTTTTGTATAAAGTTTTGAAAAAATTATTGATGCCTAACAAACTTTAAAACCAGACTGTCTCTACATGAAAACTGCCAAAAAAAATAATACTAAGTCCTTTTAGAAAAATAAAGAAAAAAATTAAATCATTATTTTGCTTTGAATAGCAAAAAAAAAAAGCTTCTTTCCAATTTGTGTTAAATTCCATGAAGGTTTGACAAAGTTTTTGATAACTGAAAAACTAAAAAAATGTATTTTCAAAATTTGGCTCTGGATACTGTAGCGTCTGTCCAAATTTCATAAAATTCAATGAAGGTTGGACAACATTATTGATGTCTACAAAAACTTTAAACTGAATACTGAATACTGTCCATTGATAATAAAAAAGCTTCTTTCCAATTTGCGTTAAATTCCATGAAGGTTTGACAAAATTTTTGATAACTGAAAAACTTTAACCTTAGAGTGTCAATGTCAACTTTAAAATATCTAGGTCTATTTGCCAATAAAATACGAAAAAAAGAGGGAAAAAAATATGGCTCTGATTACTGTAGCTTCTGTCCAAATTTCATAAAATTCAATGAAGGTTGGACAACATTATTGATGTCTACAAAAACTTTAACCACATACTGAACCTAAATGTTGAACTCGCTGCCGAAAGCAACAGAATGGAGGATTGCTATGTCTCCCTTTCGCGACTTTAATGTCCAAAGCTCAAAAATCTAAATAAATTGCTCCGCCGAGCGCAGCTGGATACGACCGCAGAGGTCCAACCCTGAACAGTTGGGGCAAAAATGGACACAATATTCGCGCTTGATACAGGTCTGAATTTGGATTGTAATTAAATATTTGACACAGAATAACTGTAGTCAAAGAACTTAGAATTGGTTATATGATTTGAATTTATATTCAATTTTTTGCTTTTGTGCAATACACTATGCAGTTGCGAATTGACCCCCCCCCCCCCCCCCCCCAAAAAAAATTTACCCCCCTGTTTTTGCTTTTGTTCAATACACTATGCTGTTGCGAATTGACCCCCCCCCCTTTTTCCAAAAAAAAAAAAATCTTTCCCTCAAGATCATAAACTCAATTCAAATTTCCAATGGAGTTTACAACCATAATTACCCATTTCAATACGTCATAAAAGTCTTAAAATAGAAAATGACATACATAATCATGGCTAAAATTAATATTCCTTAATCAGCATTTTTAAATAGTAACTTCTAAAAATAAATTGACAGCTAATCACCTCAAGACAATACAACAGTTCTTTATACATAATTTAAAAGCAGTGTAAGGGAGGTAATCCAAACATAACATTGTACTTTTTTTTAATTGTCCATTAACCAGGAAACCCGTTTTTTCCCCTTTTTTGCCCCTAATTCCTAAACGATTTGAGCCGTAACCCCCCAAAGCCAATCTTAACCATCCTTTTGTGGTATTGAAACTTGTGGTATAATTTTGGAGAGATCCATACACCGTTCCACAAGTTATTGTCTGGAAACTAGAAAAATGCTTATTTGGGCCCCTTTTTGGCCCTTAATTCCTAAACTGTTATAACTACAACCCCCAAAATCAATCCCAACCTTCCTTTTGTGGTTATAAACCATGTGTTTAAATTTCATAGATTTCTATTTACATTTACTAAAGTTATTGTCCGGAAACCAAATGTCTTCAGACGACGACGTGATACCAATATACGACCGCAAATTTTTTTGCGGTCTTATAAAAACAATTTAGACAGTACAAACTTGATTATATATTTACATTTGAGTTACCTTAAATTTTTTTAGATTATATAATAATTTGCAAAGTGTTATTTAATCACATTCAATTACATAAAAATTCTTTTAAACAAGTATTAGTAAACTTACCGTTTGTTAGTAATGTTTTAACTTGGTCTGCAAGTGGCATTGTACGTAACTGTATAAGAGACAACACATTACTTGGCATGGCTGGTTTTTCACTGAAATATTTATAAATGTTTTACCAGGTATTCCTTTAAAATAGTATGATATAGTATTGTTTTCAGATGTTCTGGTCTTCTGTACCTGTTATAATTGAATTATAAGCTTTTACTCCCTTGATTCTTTATTGTATGTTTGAGTGAAGGTTGTTTCCCTAATATCAAATGACAAATATTTCATGCATATTCAAAACAAGAACAGGTAAGTTCTGCAAAGAGGGTCAACTGGAATGAGAAACAGGAATCTAAACTTGCAAAAGGTCACCTATTCAAGGTTGGTGCTAAAATTTAAGGGTGGATGAGAACCACCCTTAAGTAGCCTATGGTGAACCCTGAAGGCATATGGACATACATGGTGATTCCTATATTCACCCTTCCCCCCAAAAAAATCATTGTTTGTGAAGGTATAATAAATTAAATATTTTCTGACAGTGTACATATATTGTATATTATTGTGCTGCAGAAAGGACTTCATATGACAATAAAATGCTCCGCTGGACGCAGCTTGATACGACTGCAGAGGTCCAACCCTGAACAGTTGGGGCAAGTATGGACACAAAACTCAAGCTTGATACAGCTCTGAATTTGGATTGTGATTAAATATTTGACACAGCATAGGTTTCTGACACAGAATGAATGTGGTCTAAGAACTTAAAAAATTTTAATTTACCTTTTATGGTCCAATATCCAAAATCTAAATACATACACGGTTAGATTCAGCATATCAAAGAACCCCAAGAATTCAATTTTTGTTAAAATCAAATTAAGTTTAATTTTGGACCCTTTGGACCTTAGGACCTTAATGTAGACCAATTTGAAAACGGGACCAACAATTAAGAATCTAAATACACGGTTAGATTCAGCATATCAAAGAACCCATAATATTTCAATTTTTGATGAAATCAAACCATATCACTATTATTTGCTTTTATATATAAATAAAAAATAACCAAATTAAAATTTTAAAGAGAAAAAAAAAGGAAAAAAAGGAAAAAAAAAAAAAAAAGAGGGAAAAAAAAATCCCCCCCCCCCCAATTTTCGAATCCCCTTATGATTCATCACCCCAAAAAACAATCCCAGCCTTCCCTTTGTGGTATGGTACCTTGCAGAACAATTTCAGAGAGATCCATACACTTGAACACAAGTTATTGTCTGGAAACTGTAAAAATGCTTGTTTTTTGGCCCCTTTTTGGCCCCAAATTCCTAAACGTTTAGGGCAAACACCCCCAAACTCAAACCCAGCTTTCCCTTTGTGATATGGAACCTTGTAGTACAATTTCATCAAGATCCATACACTTGAACACAAGTTAGTGTCCTGAAACTAGAAAAATGCTTGTTTTTTGCCCCTTTTTGGTCCCTTATTCCTAAAATTTTGAGACAATTACCCCCCAAAATCAATCCAATCCTTCCCTTTGTGGTATGGTACCTTGCAGAACAATTTCAGAGAGATCCGTACACTTGAACACAAGTTATTGTCTGGAAACTAGAAAAATGCTTATTTTTGGCCACTTTTTGGCCCCAAATTCCTAAACGTTTAGAGCAATTACCCCCAAACTCAAACCCAGCTTTCCCTTTGTGATATGGAACCTTGTAGTACAATTTCATCAAGATCCATACACTTGAACACAAGTTAGTGTCCTGAAACTAGAAAAATGCTTGTTTTTTGCCCCTTTTTGGCCCCTAATTCCTAAAATTTGAAGGCAATTACCGCCAAAATCAATCCAAGTCTCCCTTTGTGGTATGGTACCTTGCAGAACAATTTCAGAGAGATCCATACACTTGAACACAAGTTATTGTCTGGAAACTAGAAAAATGCTTATTTTTGGCCACTTTTTGGCCCCAAATTCCTAAACGTTTAAAGCAATTACCCCCAAACTCAAACCCAGCTTTCCCTTTGTGATATGGAACCTTGCAGTACAATTTCATAAAGATCCATACACTTGAACACAAGTTAGTGTCCTGAAACTAGAAAAATGCTTGTTTTTTGCCCCTTTTTGGCCCCTAATTCCTAAAATTTGAAGGCAATTACCCCCAAAATCAATCCCAGTCTCCCTTTGTGGTATGTTACCTTGCAGTACAATTTCAGAGAGATCCATACACTTGAACACAAGTTATTGTCTGGAAACTAGAACTAGAAAAATGCTTATTTTTGGCCCTTATTCCTAAAAGTTTTGGGCAATTACCCCCAAACTCAATTCCAGCTGTCCCTTTGTGGTATGTTACCTTGCAGTACAATTTCAGAGAGATCCATACACTTGAACACAAGTTATTGTCTGGAAACTAGAACTAGAAAAATGCTTAATTTTGGCCCCTTATTCCTAAAAGTTTTGGGCAATTACCCCCAAACTCAATTCCAGCTTTCCCTTTGTGATATGGAACCTTGTAGTACAATTTCAGAAAGATCCATAAACTTACACACAAGTTATTGTCATGAAACTAGAAAAATGCTTGTTTTTTGCCCTTTTTTTGGCCCATAATTCCTAAAATTTTGAGGCAATTACCCCCAAAATCAATCCCAGCATTCCATTTGTGATATGGAACCTTGTGGTACAATGTCAGAGAGATCCATACACTAACACACAAGTTATTGTCTGGAAGTTACAAAAATGGTTTTTTTTTGCCCCTTATTCCTTAACTGTTGGTACTATAACCCCCAAAATCAATCCCAACCTTCCTTTTGTGGTATTGAAACTTATGGTAAAATGTCATAGAGATCCATTCACTTAAACTAAAGTTATTATGCGAAAACCAATGTGTCTTTGGACGATGACAACGCCAACGTCATACCAATATATGAAATTTTTGCGGTCGTATAAAAACCCCATCGACATCTAGTAGTAGGAACTAAGTTTACCTCTCTGTTTCACTTGAGGGTGGCATCAACATCTTCAAATACTCATCTGGTTTGACACAGAATTCAGAAACCTCTTCCTCTTTGCTGGCATGTAACTGTGACCTTTCTGTTTCAGCTAAATCAGACTGCAAGAGAGAAGATGTTGTAACAAGACACAGCAAATATAATTGTAAGCCATAAAATTTTTTTTCCAATAGTCATTTCCTTTTTCATTACTGTTTACTTTTATGCAGATGTATATCCTTCAAAATATCTTGAAAACATACAGAAACTTGAATGTCAAAATTCCCATCTTTCAAAATTGAAAAATGAATTGGAAACCAGGCGACTTAATTACAATACAATTCTGTTTTAATTTCATATAAAGGTTCTTAAATTTGTAGTCAGAAAAAAACCCACCATCCATCAAATCTAAGTATAACTGCTTCCCAACACCCCCTTTTCAATTACTATAAATAATATGTTTTTGTTTTGTACCCACATTTACACCATGATATCCTAAATGAATCCATGATTCCTCATTCCTCTTTTTCTGTAGATATCCGTAAGATCTCATTCTCCTGGCTTTGGCCTCCTCTGTCTCTTGACGAGCAAACTTCATAGTTACAGGCTTAGCTTCATCTTCTTCATCCTGAGACATATCTCCTAAAATTTGATAATTTCTGTTTTCAATTTTGTGTCATATGATTATATTTTAATGTTTTTAAGACTACATTTTCTTTTACTATGAAATATGCAAATGTATGTATAATGTAACTTAACAAAAATATCATTCAAAAGATTATTATATAATTTAATTCACTATGCATGTACAATCATAAGAAAACTTGACCGCAAAGGCGGGCCCAAGAAAATAAAGTTTATAAGAACTATTTTTATATTGCACATAATGTTAAAAAAAGCATAAGATAAAGAAATATAAATGAATTACACAAGACTTCTGATGTTACAATGTCACAATTAACGTCATAACACAGATTTCGCGAAAATGGTCGGTCCTGTCGGTCAAAATGAGGATGGGACCAGTATTTTGAAGGCTAGTGCCAATCCCGATGACAGATGTAAAAACGGCCGTTGTAGTGCATATTTCGGCATTTTTTTACATCGGTTATTAGATGTACCGCAACTGTTTCCAATAAGTGTTTACATCGGTTATCAGATATACCCGCTGCCAATTTCCGGTACTGGTTTACGGATTTATTATAAACAAACCAAAGCGGCGATCTACACGTGGCCTACTAAATTTGTTCATAGAGTCATGCCTGGCAAACAATCAGCGATTGAACCCTACAATGGAGCAAACAAATACTGTAACAGCCGAGAAAGTGATTCAGATGATGAAATGGATAGTGAAGATGACTTTAAATAAGAACAATCAGAAGACTGAACTGGTCCTTCGTTGTTAATTTGCCTGTGGGTGCGAAGAATAAAACTAATATTAATAAAGTTATTTTTCGATAAAATATGTTATTAATTTTATTTCAGGATAAAATTGTGAGATTTTGTAGGACTGGCTAAAATTTTGTAGGACTGACAAATAATCATGCTTTGTCGGTCCCATGACCGACGAGTCAAAATAAGTTTTCGCGAACTCTGTTAAAACAAAGAAAACTGCTGAATCTATGCAGTTTTTCATCTTTATTTTCCTTGTGGAAACTTTATGTGCAGCCAATGCAAGAAACAACAAAATAATTTTAAATAAGTTTAATTTTAGCTATTATCATAATTTCATGAATTATAAAATTGTTTCTTTTTGGTGCGCACATTCTTTTCTAATCCCAAATATATTTATAAGTTGATATAAAATAAGCAAAATCAAGAAATTTTACAAAATATACAAATTTCGTAATGGTTTGGTGTCATGGTAACTCCTTAAATGTGAAATTTATCTTTATTTTCTAAACTTCTTGTACCTTTATAGTAAAATTAAGACAATTTTAGGAATATAAATGGTATTTTTTCAATTTGACCTTATATTTATGCCAAATAATGGCCTTATTGCCTCACCCCTACTCCTTTCAGAAATATATATGAAAAAATGATATGTGACTGATTCTTAATGACGTAAATAAAATAAATCATTCTAGACCACCTGCATGAAAACTTAAATAAACCTAATTCACACTAAAATCTATGACAAACAGGATGATTTCAACTTCCCAATTATTAATTTCCCATTTCTCAGCAGTAACATACCCTCTGCTCCGTCGTATGGTGTTTACATATCTCAGTTGATACGTTATGCTCGTGCATGTTCACACTATATTTACTTCATATACAGGAGTGTGCTCCTTACGCAGAAACTGCTCCAACAGAGATATGAGGAGGAAAGATTAAAAATGACACTCCGTAAATTTTATGGACACCATCACGAATTGGTTGATCTATACGATGTGTCTGTGTCTAAACTAACTAATGACATTTTTACCACGTCTTAGATTGAGGTTTAACATATATGTCGTATGTCTGATAACTACCGAACGTGACCTATTCTCGTATGTGACTGTTGTACCGAGTGTGGGTTTGCATTGCTATACGACATGTCTAGGAATTTTGTACATCCAACATTCATGTATCTATTTTTGATGTTTCTGTTATGGTTTCGGTTGGATGGTGTGTTATGTCTTATCGATTGTAGTACAAATAATTTTAAAATAGCCTTTCAATACAATCATTGTCATGAAAATTGTTGTGGACTGGTATTGTGAAAATAATTGTATAAAGTTTGAGATTGTATGTTGTTACATAAGTGCGTCACTGTTTGTGATGCCCTGTGGTGTCTGTCGTTGATGGAAGATGTTCGTTGTTGTTCTGCGGTTTGCATAATGTGTCGACTATTATATTATTTGTTTGTGCGTTTCTCTGTGATGAGTGTTCTTCAATGTGTTTGTGCTGTATTTCTGTCACATAGTGTTGTCATTTTAGTGATATTTTTTAACATTGTCACATAAGCCGGAGGTTTGGCTAGCCTTAAAACCAGGTTCAACCCACCATTTTTTCTTAATATGGCAGTTGTTATCAAATAGTTCGTTTCTATGTATGTTGGCGTTTGTTTTTGTTGCACTTCAGTATTCCTGCTGTTCCTTTGAATTCCTCTTGTGATTGATGTGTTTCCCTCGGTTTTGGTTTTTGGCCCGGATTTGTTTTCTCTCAATCGATTTATGACCTTTGAATACCGGTATACTACTGTTGCCTTTATTTATATGTCTCCTTAATTTTCTAATCAATATGCAGAATATTTCAAAAATGCCCTTCTATATTAACATGCATGATGTGTCAGTGCTTAAATTGACAATTATATCCAATAACTTGAGCATGTGTCATTAATGAAGCATACAGGTAAAGTTATTTTAACATGAAGTCAATTTCAAAACAATGAAATTCCGTTTTATTATTTCATCCAAACTTTTTATGTCTGTATAGTACTGGTGTTTTGTGGACTTTGATCACCAGTAATGGTTTTTCATTGCCCCCTTGGTATCCTTGCTTCCCCACTTTTCTTTTTAATTTGGCAAATGCTACTAAGTGTACAATACCTGCAGCTTCCCTTGCAGCAGCTTCTGTTTTGATTTTGTCATCTGCTTTGTCTAAGTAGTTAAATGATGGTCTCATTTGCACTACAGCATGGAGAGGTGATAAATGTAGCTCACCTGGAAAAAAGAACAGAATAATGGAAATTACAGATTGCCACCTGAAAAAGTCCACAAAGCATGAAACATAGGTTGGAATAATCTATTTTGACATGACTTCTCATAATGTGTTCATTAACTGAACTCTATATACATCTACATGACAGGTTTATTTGAATACTAATTCTATGTACTATATGCATTGTATATAAGATTCATAACATTTGGTTGAGGCAAAGTAGAATTAGAGAACAGAAACAAAAAATTTAGCAATTTTTCCATTTTTAAAGGGACATAACTCTAGAAAGGTAAAAGTGACACTACCCAAATTCTTACTTGATCTGAATTTTGTGGTACTAAGCATTGTTTATAAGTTTCATAACATTTGGTCGAAGCAAACTTAAGTTAGAGAACGTAATTCAGTAATTTTTCCATTTGTAAAGGGGCATAACTCTAGAACAGTAAAAGTGACGACACCAAAATGCAAACTTGATCTGTGTTTTGTCATAATAAGCATTGTGTATAAGTTTCATAACATTTGGTTTAGGAAAACTAAGTTATAGAAAGGAAACCAATTTGTGGGACTTACGGACAGGCGGAAGTACAGATGTACAGACGGCAAGGGTAAAACTTAATGCCCCCTCCACTATGGCGGGGGCATAAAAATGAAAACTGACAAGATTTCTAGATAAATGTTCCAAGTTATATGACTGAAACTGAAGTATAAGACACAGAGCTTAATGATAAATTTAAGCCCTACAGTTATTGACTTAATCACTCTCACATTTTCTGGCTAACCTGCTGACAGTTTTTAATTTTATTTCCTCTTTAGTTAATAAAATACAAAATTTTAACTTAAAGAAAAATATTCTCATTTATTTACAAGGAATTGACATGCAATTCTATATTTATGTATCGCTTATGCAAGTGTCTGATTTTATTATCTGTAAGCGTGATCAGGTTTTAGAACATCTAACTAGACTGTGCTGTTCATCTAGGTATTATGTGTATCTTCAACAATGGACACTCTCTATCATTGTAGCCTAGAATATAATTCATGACTAAATCTTTAATTTGTTGAACTTGTATTGGTGATATTTTTTTCTGATAACTTCTATAGTTTTTTCCCAAAAACAAAAATATGGCAAAAAATAATCATTTAAGGACAATAACTCCTTTAAGAGGACAACTGACAACTTCATCTTTTGATGACTTATTTGCAGATTGTGTCTTACTGATTATTTTTGCTTTTTAAAGTTTCTATCTATTTTTTATAGTTTTCAAGAAAATAGGCAAAAATGCAAAAAATGGTAAAAATCATCATCAAAGGGCAATAACTTCGATAAGACCTCCACTCACAATTTCTGCAATGTGAGTTTTTAGTAGGTCGACCATTTTTGCTTTTTAAAGTTTCTGTCTTCTATTATAATTTTCAAGATAATAGGCAAATAATGAAAAAAATTGGTAAAATTTGTCATTTAATGGCAATTACTCATAAAAGAAGTTACCTGACAGTTTTGATGTAAATGGACAGTAGGTAGATCTTATTATTCTTGTCAGATTTTCTCTATCTATAGTGGTTTTCAAAGCAATAGTTAAAACTTTTGTTTTACCACTATGTTCTATTTCTAGCCATGTTGGTCATGGTAGGCCCCGTCATCAGACACATTTTTTAAAAACTAAATACCCCAATGATGATTAGTTCGGTAAAATTTGGCCTATTAGTTGCAGAGAAGAAGACTATTACAAAAGTTAACAGTTGATGACCAAAAACAATGACGACAGACGACGGACACCTAGTGACAACAAGCTCAGACTGGCCTTTGGGTCAAAATATAGGGTTGTTCGGCATATTTTCAACATTTATATGCCTTGAACTTCATAGAGTTTAAATTTATACTAAAATTCTGTACTACCTCTCCCTTTACTTTGAGTCTTCCTGAGAATTCAATTTGTCTGATATCCAACAATATTTATACCAGTAAAATTCCCAGGTTGTGTCTCTATGAGATGAAACATGGAGATCGTATCTGGGAACCAATAGGTAAACAAAACAAACTATCTATGAATATCAAATATCTCCCCAAAAGAGACATGGTTTGTGAATCAGCTGTATTTACAAAGTGCAACCTATAAGGTGTAGACCTAAGATATTGGTCATGTTCACTTAATTTTATATCTTGTCTGATTAATCATGTTTGCCATTAAAAGTTACTCTCTTTCTAATATACTTATCAAGACAAAGGGCAAAATAAATCAAAGCACTGTAAGCGCTGCAGGCAGTTAACCAAAAACCAAGGCAAACTTAATTATGAAAACTGTGGCAGTGTTGCTTCAAATTTTTTTTTCAGATTTGAAAGAACAAACATTAAACATTCGTATATTGTACATTTATGTTTATTTAATGAATTGATTATTAAGGCAAATTAATTAATATTTTATCAAGGTTTTCTAAAGCAACGCATATATCAATGTATATTTTTAATGGTGAGTCTGCAGTGGTAAAAGTTTGCAATGATTGCAGGTGTTCTAGTTGGTAGTTAACATTGGTACCAGTTGACTTTTAGTGGTACAAGTTGACGTAATTGTATGAATGGACTTGCTTCCCTGGAAGGAACACTGAGTTTGGGTTCTACAGTACAAAAGTTATGAGACACAAATCAGACAAATGTTTACTACTACAGGGATCAAAGGTGAGGTCTGACTGCCCTGACCATAGTAAATGTAAATGACCCCCACCTTCACCCCAAGTCCGTGATATCACTCCATACCAAGTTTGGAATAAAATGACAGGTGATTATAAAAGAGGGACGAAAGATACCAGAGGGACAGTCAAACTCATAGATCGAAAACAAACTGACAACGCCATGGCCAAAAATAAAAAGACAAACAGACAAATAATAGTACAGATGACACAACATAGAAAACTGAAGACTAAGCAACACGAACCCCACCAAAAACTGGGGGTGATCTCAGGTTCTCCGGTCAAATAAAACAATTGGTCAAACATTCTTGGGCTTTACACTGCTTTAAAGATTTATATGTTTTCTTTAAAATGAGCCATAAATGAAAATTTTTATAGGCCCAGAAATAATTCAAAAAATAATTAAAGTAAATTCAATTTACCTAGACTCATTTTTTGCATCAATAAAATTTTATAATAAACAAGAAATAATTGTAACAGGATGCTGTTACGAAGTCTCCCAAACAAAGCTCCCATAATTTGTCATTCCCATGGTCGCCTGACATTGGGCAAAGTCCAGTACACATTGGTTTGGTCTAGTAAAGTGATATGCATATGTCACATAATGTGACGCCTAGGAGATTGACCATGTATATCATTCAAATTATTTTGAAATGACAAACAGGAATAAATATGGTTTAGGAGTGGGGACCGTTTACAAGTTCTCAAACAGGAGGGGGTGAGTTGACCCCAGGGATTCCCCCTATATTTCATTTGATTTGTTATATTGTCCCATACATGAATATATATGGTTTAGGAGTGGGGATTTCAACCGTTTACAAGTTCTCAAACAATAGGGGGTGGGGTGACCCCAGGGACTCCCCCTATATTTCATTTGATTTGTTATATTGTCCCATACATTAATATATATGGTTTAGGGGTGGGGATCTCGACCGTTTCCAAGTTCTCAAACAAGATGGGTGGGGTGACCCCAGGGACTCCCCCTATATTTCATTTGTTATATTGTCCCATATATTAATATATATGGTTTAGGGGTGGGGATCTCGACCGTTTCCAAGTTCTCAAACAGGAGGGGGTGGGGTGACCCCAGGGACTCCCTATATTTCATTTAATTTGTTATATTGTCCCATACATGAATATATATGGTTTAGGGGTGGGGATATCGACCGTTTACAAGTTCTGAAACAGAAGGGGGTGGGGTGACGCCAGGGATTCCCCCAAATTTTCATTTGATTTGTTTTATTGTCCCATACAAGTATATATATGGTTTAGGGGTGGGGATCGCGACCGTTTACAAGATAAAAGAACATTTTCAAATTGAAGGTGGGTGGGATGACCCCCAGGGACTCACCCTATATTTTATTTGATTTGTTTCATTGTCCTGTTCTCATTACTGAAGACCATGCGTGTCTATCACTTACTGTTTTCGAGTATAAATAGTCATTTGAAAATAAAATCCCATAGGGTTCTACAGTAAACCCCTCCCTTCTTTAGGCCCCTCAAAATACCCCTAAATAGTTCCCAATGCACAAACGAAAGATTGATGGCTCCGCTAGACATGTTAGTCTTACATTTTATGAAACCCTAAGTTAATCTGACAAGGGGTCCGAGTTGTTTTCTTAGACGATCCGAGTGGACTCGGTCCGACTTGTCTCTGGGACGAGTTATTCCGCATTTCTTAAAACATCGACCTGATTGGTTGACATTGATTACGTCGATTTCCGGTTTTTCATTCATAAAATAACAACAAGTTCAGTGATAAACGGAATAATTTAATAAAAGAAAGGAATTTAAAATGTGCATACATTTAATTGAAATCAATTAAATAATCACAATCTTCTTAAACTAAAAGAATATCATGATTAAGAGTACTTTCGCTTAATCGGACTTTATATCATCAGAATCAAACGAACTTACATTTCGTGTAAGTTAAAATTACCGCCAACTTAGACTACATGTGTACTATATATAACTTTATTCCCTCTATCATAGAGATTTGGTGTACATGAACAATATTCCTGCGTATTTTGCCATTTGGGAAATATAAACGACTTGTAATTACAGATTTTCGGCGATGAAATATTTCATACAATTGTTCTTTGCCATCTTAGCCAAAAGCACAGGGGATAATAAACTACGTACGGATTTCTATTGAGCACTATTTCCTATGTGCAACTTCAAATATTATGCGTCGTTCGACGATCATTTTAGGTTATTCTGGTCATATTTTTTGTATTCCAGAATTAAAAGAATGAAAAAAATGTCCACTTAGTTATAAATAACATATTAGCCTGCTAGATTACAACAATGGCACTTTTTTCAGCATTCGTTAGGAAGAACACAAATCTAGGGTGCTAGCATAAGGCAGCTTAACTGCCTAAAAATGGTACATGAATTGTCTTAAATGGCAATAACTCCTATAATGAGTCGTCTGACAGTTTTAGTGTAAATGGACAGTAGGTTGATCTCAACTTTTGACCATATCTGCCCCTAAAATCTATAGCATTTCAAGATAAGACAAAACTTGTATGTTACCCCTCTGTTCCATTTTAGCCATGTCGACTATGTTGGAGGGATAATCAGACACAATTTTTTTGAAATAGATATCCCAATAATGATTGTGGTCAAGTTTGGTTCTAATTGGCCAAGTAGTTTCAGAGGAGAAGATTTCTTTGTTAAAGTTAAATGACAAGGATAACAAAAGCCAAGTGATGAGAATAGATGCATAAAAAAGATGGAAGATACCAGAGGCAATATAAAATTCATAAATCTAAAAGGGACTGACATCTCAATGGCAAAAAATGGAAAAGGAAAAGATAAAAAAGTCCACAAAACACTTCATAGAAAACTAAAAACTGAGCAACACCAAACCACAACAAATATTAGGGATGATCTCAGGTGCTAATAAAGGGTAAGCAGATGTTGCACTAGTGGCATACGCCATATTGCTCATTGTGAGTACCAATTCAGTGAAATGTCTCATTCAGTGAGGTCACAATCAAGGAAAAGAGGACATGTTGTGGTTACCACAATTGGAACATATCTGTGGTATCTGTGACACAGATTTTCAATAACAGTCAACCAACTCACGTTGGAGTCAGTGGATCTCTTCAACTTGACCACTTGGAACCTTTTTTTAAAGCCACTTTCAGCACTCTTTGCTACATATATATCCTGTTGGCCAGTATTTATTGGTGGAGGAACCCAGGGTCGGCAGGAAAAATGGCAATCCAAGTCAGTTAAGGTAGAGGTTGAATGCATCTGGCACAAGCAGTGATTGAACTCACTACCTCATTTTTAACAGGCTAGTGGTAACTGTAGATGAACTGCTTAGACCATTAGTCAACCTAGGGCCCTAGATGCAATGAACATTGTCACCAAACTTTGAACTTTTTTTTAAAGGGAAATCATCTATATAGCTGAAGGTGAAGATAAAGAATAATGCTTGCTTTTTTCATTCTTCATAAGAAGGTCCTGTATGAAGTCTGCCTCATATAAATACAGGAATAAGTCAATAGAAAATTTGTAAGGGTTCCGCGGAACCCAATGTCTCTCCTACTTTTGCTGTTAGTCGCAGGATCAACAAAAATGGGAATAAAAATTATTAAAAATTTTCCTCTAGATACTATCTTTTGTTTGTAAGAAGTTCTGTTCAAGTTTGGTAAAAATCCAAGAAGGTTTATGAATCTAATAAATGTTTTAAAAACTTTAACTGCAGATTGTACGTAATGTTAACTGGAATAAAACTAAGTCCATTTATAAGTAATACACGGAAAAACAGGAAATAAATTTTTACAAAATTTCCTTCTAGATACTAGCTTTTCATCATTAACAAGCTTCTGTCCAAGTGTGGTACAAATCCAGGATAGTTTAAGAAAGTTATTAAAATTTCAAAAACTTTAACCTAAGAGTGAATATTTGTGGATGCCGCAGCCGACGACGAAGCCGACAGAATGTAGGATCGCTATGTTTCACTTTTGGGACAAAAGTCGCAGGCTCGACAAAAAGGAGCACAGTTTGTTCCTATAGGAATGCAATTGTTTGTTGAAAACATTACAAATATGTTGTCAATAAAAAAATCAAACATCTTGATTATGTCAATTTCATTAGGTTTCATCATGATATTTCATTTAAAAAATAAATGGAGAATGTGTTCATGGGACACAGATGATGGTCCTGCTTGCATTTAAGGTTATAAAGGGGAATAACTAGAGAACAGTAACACCATCCCAATCCGAACTTAATCTGTGATTTGTGGTAAAAAGCATGGGTATAAGTTTCAGAAAATTAGAGAATGGAAACCAATTTCAGGACATACGCAAGGACTCCAGTGATGGCGGGGGCATAATAAGTGTTTCTGTGAAATAAATTTTTTTTTAAAGGAGAATCAAATGTATTTTCAACTCTCTCTAATTCAAAATCAAAGTCAAATGTTGGAATATATATACTTTAATCAAACTTTGTAGTTTTGGTTTAAAATATTCTTTTTTTATTGGTTACACAGCCATAGAATGATAGAAAATACAGCAAAATTGTGAATATTTGACTTACACATGCTCAGAAATAACATGCAGCACAACCTACACACCATAAGATAGTTACATTGTAATTTCTCTTTGTGTTTATCTATTCAATGACAAAGAAAAATTTGCTTGTACTCAATGTTAATTTATCCAAATGCTTCTGAAATCAGCCTAATATGTTAAAAAGTCTGATAATCCATTGTGAAGTCACTTTTAAAACATAAGAGACTAATTGTGTAATCAAGGCTTGGAAAGTATTCCACTTTTCTGAAAATCTTTCTTTTGAAGCTTGAAGAATTTGGTTGATAATGACCATCCTACATTCTTGAACATTTTTGTTGAATTTACAGGGCCAAATAATCTCCAAGATGTCCTCTCATTTGCAATCATACCACATCTCCTTATTTAATATTTGTCCTTTATATTCTTACCCTCTTTAAATACACCCACACCATATCGTCCTATATCACCAGAACAAGGAGCTGAGGTTAGGATCTGCTTGTCCATCTTATCACTGAAAAACAAATGCTTTCTCTATAGCTGTAAGAGCCTGTTATTTTCATTTCTTGTGTAATAAGAAAATTCTGTGAATTGTCAAAAATAGCTAAATAAACGCTATACCTCAAATCTGTTAACTAACTCTTTAACAATAACTGCAAAAAACTGAAATAGCTGAAATACTTCATAAAAATTTCTTAGGCTCATACAAAATGTTCCAAGTCATTGAAAAGTTCTGTGATTTCATAAAGTAGAGGCTAGCGCAAGTAGTCATTGTATAGGCTGTTTATAACCACTTTTAAAATTATACACTTGGTTATCTTCTCTCTTACCTTCTATAAAACCCTCCTTGATCCCCTCTTGATGATCCATCAACATTGAGAGCAATCTGTTCACCTTTACTTTTTGCATAGTAGGTACTTGAAGTGTTGACAGCTAAGTCGAATTCCACCTAAAACAGATTCAGGAACATAGAAACAATTCATCAGTACATATACATTCATGGAACAAGTTTGCATGGAACCTAAACATGCTAAAACTACAGAAGTTTTGAAAATACACTATTTAACTGAATAGCTTAAATAAGAGTGCACATGCTGAAATGTCTCACCTGTTTTACTTACCATGATTGATTTTATGTTGATAGTCCTACAGATAAAGTTTTACTACAAGTATCACATAAACTTAAAATTATCAACGATCTGTGAAAATGAGGTCAAGGTCCGATGCACCAAGCCAGACAGACATATACACTTTAAAATCATTCCATACACCAAATGTAGTTGACCTTATTGCTTATAGTATCTAAGAGACAGATTTAACCAGGAAAACTTAACATTAATCAATGAACCAATAAAATGAGGTCAAGGTCAAATAAATCCTGCCTGACTGACATGTACTCTTTCCAATCATTCCATACACCAAATATAGTTGACCAATTGCTCATAGTATTTGAAAAAAAGACCAAAACACAAAAACTTGAACACTGACCAATGAAAATAAGGTAGAGGTTAGATGATACCTGCCAGACTGATATGTACAACTTTTAATCATTCCATACACCAAATATAGTTGACCTATTGCTTAAAGTATTGGAAAAACAGACCAAAACACGTAACTTAACATTGACCAATGAACCAGGAAAATGAGGTCAAGGTCAGATGACACCTTCCAGACTGACATATACCCCTTACAATCATTGCATACACCACATATAAACCACCTACTGCTTATACTCCCTTATAGTATCTGAGTAACAGTCATAATAACTTAGCTTTAACCTTGATCACTGATCCATGAAATGAGATCGCAGTCAGGTGAACCCTGTCTGACAAACATGTAGACTTTGCAAGGAACCCATAATCCAAACATAGCTATCCTACTACACATAATAAGTCAGAAATTCACATGACAAAAAACTATAATTTTTTTAAGCAGTCACTGAACCATGGAAATGAGGTCAAGGCCAATGGACATATGACAGACGGAAACTTTGTAACATAAAGTATCTGCATACTACGGAAGAGACAAAAAAACATAGCCTGAAAGTGCTTGAAAAGGCATTTACTGTATACTAAACAATACCCCTGTGTGCAAGTGTTCCCCATTTTTGAACAAAAACAAGATTAGATCCTTTTTCAGAAGTCACGAAATAATTTCATACCAAATATCACTGATATAATCAGTTACGTTAAAACACTTTTAATAGTATAAAATATTAAATACAATGATTTACTGCCACTTGATAATCAAATGAAACTTGTTATCTTAAATCAGATGTGATATGAGTGCCAATGAGACAACTCTCAGTCTCCATCCAAGTCAAAATTTATAAAAGTAATCCATTATAGGTCAAAGTACGGTCTTCAACACGGAGCCTTGACTCACACCGAACAGCAAGCTATAAAGGGCCCCAAAAATTGCTAGTGTAAAACCATTCAAACGTGAAAACCAACGGTCTAATCTACATAAAATAAACTGCTTCGCTGAGCACAGCTGGATACGCCCGCAGAGGTCCAACCCTGAACAGTTGGGGCAAAAATGGACACAATATTCAAGCTTGATAAAGGTCTTAATTTGGATTGTAATTAAATATTTGACATATTATAGGTTTCTGAATAAATGTAGTCAAAGAACTTGAAATTGGTTATATGAATTGAATTTATATTCAATTAAAGATTTCTTGCTGTTGTGCAATACACTGTGCTGTTGCGCAAGACTTATTAAATCTGTTGTCAGACTATATACAAATAAAGTTCAATTTCTTCTCAATGTCATATTTGAAATTTATGAAAATCAATAGGGAGATTACATCAATAGCTATAAATAATTCACCAAAGTTTCATGAGAACTGCTGAAAGCATTTTTGAGTTATTGTCCAAAAACTGGAAAATCTCCCCTTTTTTAATGAATAAAACCCCATAACTCAGAAATGTAAAATCTAAAATTTATAAAATTCTAAAGGGAGCTTACATCAACAGATATAAACAATTCACCAAAGTTTCATGAGAACTGCTGAAAGCATTTTTTAGTTATTGTCCAAAAACTGGAAAATCACCCTTTTTTTATGAATAAAACCCTGTAACTCGGAAACGTAAAATCTAAAATTTATAAAAATCGAAAGGGAGCTCATGTCAATAGATATAAACAATTCACCAAAATTACTTGCAAGTTGGTGAAAGCATTCTTGAGTTATTGTCGGAAAACGGGCGTATAAAAACGAGAAACAAGAAACACTTATGAACCACATCAACAAACGACAACTACTGAAATCAGATTCCTGACTTAGGACAGGTGCAAACAATTGCAGCAGGTTTAAACTTTTTAATGGTACCAAACCTTCACCCTTATCTGAAACAATAGTGTAACATCACAACATAGAAAGACACACTATTAAATATCAATTGAAATAGCTTAACTCAATCAAAAGACATATTAACACCAGTGAACATACACTGAACAAATAAATTTGATATATGATACAATGTAAATACAAAATAAATAAACTGAGGGAGGAATAATTAATGTAACATGTTAAACCGCTATGAAATGTTAAACAATTTAAGAAAAACAATATGCTTGAACAAAAATATCAGCCATTTGCAATTACTTTGAACACAGGTAAATGAAAATAATTTTGTTGTTAGGTATATATATATTTATTTATTTATTGTCTTAGACTCAAAAAGCATGGTCAAATCCTGAGGAATTGCATGTTTGTGTCATCAAAATCATTTCAATTTTAATATGTTGCATTCCACAAATCATTCTCAGTGTTCCAGCTTGAATCTCAGGGCAGAAGGGTGCTAGTTGTCTGAAAGGGCACTTTCTTACCATAAAATAGTTTTTAAATCCATATTAATGTATAATTTCGAAACAAAGATTACAGACTGCAGTGGTTCTTAGTGTTTAATTGCTTGTTTTCCTAATTTGGTAATTGTATGCAACTATATTTGTAAAAGTCAATATGAACAACTGTGCAAATGCTAAGCTAAAACTTCATTTAGAACGTATAATTTTCTTAGATACATGCTTCTTGTGATTTTATTTGCAACACCACATTTAATTAGTATGACCTCCTAGCAAATACATAGAACAATCTTCACTAATTAGTCTTTTCAGAATGCTGGTTCTAAGGCCAAATAAATAATACGTGTAGTTCTAGTTTCCCCATCTATCCTAATTTTGAGCCCGCACACCAACTTTTCTTGCCATTTTTAAGTGTAAGCACTGTTAGTTTCACAATGTGTCCACTGTATATTCTATAGAAAAAAATATCAAAATAGATAAATTTGGAATGCGTCCATGGGACACAGATGGTGCCCCCGCTGGCATATCATATAAAGATATAAAGGGACATCACTGAAGAACGGTAAAAGTGACTCTACCCAAATTTTTACTTGATCTGAGTTTTGTGGTAATAAGCATTGTGTATAGGTTTCATAACATTTGGTTGAGGCAAACTAAAGTTAGAGAACAGAAACGAAAAATTCAGCAATTTTTATCTTTATGAAGGGGCATAACTCAAGAACGGTAAAAGTGACAACAACCAATTTCAAACTCATCTGTATTAAGTGGTAATAAGCATTGTGTAAAAGTTTCATAACATTTGGTTGAGGCAAACTCAAGTTAGAGAACGGAAACCAACTTTGGGACGTACGGACGCACAAGGGTAAAACTTAAATAGAAAAAAAAACTTACATTGTACCTATGTTTTTTTTTAGAGCAATTTCACTGGAACCATACATATTATTTTATTTATAATGTGAGTAACCATGTGTTCAAGCAGTACATGCAATAGCTCATGGATTCTTCTTTTAATTAGCCGAAGTTTTGTTACTTTCAATTTGAAGTACCCTGGTGGTACATGGGATTCTGTTCCACAGACACAAACACAGAATCAAATCTTATATAATTTACCTTTTTCTGCTGTGGTTTAACTCTAGCTGCTAAGTGTTCAATTTTGTCGTAATTCAAATGGGCTGGTCTGATTGGGTACTGAAAATTTTGTAAATGTAGTTGAAATTAGCAGTATTTGAATCTATGATGCATATACAAATCATAAGTAAGAGCTGTTTGTCTGCTTGTTAATTCCCTATGAAGGCTACTTAGGCTAGGGGCCTCTTGATCTTGCTATTAGGTATGGATTGAAACCAATGTGTAACATTTATATGCAAATCTGGCAGTACTCAATATGTAAAGTTCTTGTCTCTTCATAATCTCCATACAGATTTCTGTCATTTGAGGTTAACACGAGGATATGATACTGAAGTTATTTGCAAACGGTTGTCCCACCAAAAAATAATACCTTTGTCTATGATGTCTACCATACTGCTACATTTGTAGCAGGCCAGTAAAAAAACTACAAAGTTTTCCATTGGTTTAAACTTAAACTTGTGTTATTCAAACAAAAACAGTCAGTAAGTGTATTATTTCTATGACAGGTTCCAAGGCCAAGTTCTGAACAATGTTATTCAGCTACCTAGTAAAATCATGTCTCCAGTAAAATGGGTCAAGGGGTAGAAATAAAAAACTATTTCAAACTGGCCAGGTGAGCAAGTCAGCTTTGAAGTTCACTAGCCTTTCTGAGATTTTACGTGCAAATCTTTGGAAAAGTGAAAAGCTTGTACCAATCAATAACAACACAAGTTACTTTGTGGCTTATTTTGTATTTTATGGGTTGTCGAATTCCATCATGTCCATATCTCTCTATTCTCTAAGTGGAAATCTTGCATTTTTAGTCACTTAGTGGTCACCACACTTCAGAATTTTGGGGAGTCAAACAGGGAGAAGTGAATACCGGTACTAACAGGGAGACTTCAGAAAAAAGTGAGAGATCACCAATGCTTCAAAGTGGGTAAATTGGCAACATTACACCTTTTAATTATTTTGGCGCCTTTTCAAGACAAATTTTCAGACTTTATTTAAACTGCCTTGTCATTGCTTGTGGTCTGAATGAATTGACAAATGCATTGAATCCAAGCAAGTCAAAGAACCCCCTTCTCATCCCTCACAAAAAAAATATATTTCTGGGAGAAAAGAACAAGTAAGCCAGTGTTCTCCCCAGATATTTCATTTAGCATCCTGGTAAACAGGGGAAATTGATATACCATCTTGTTTCTAAAAATTATAGCATCACATCCATAACATAATCTATAAGATAAACTGTTAACACAGAGATATGTCTCGCCTATTTGTGTTATTTTGATAATCATGATAATGCAAATGTTGAAATCAAAATAGCAATACTTTAACATGCAAGTTATGCAAATATTCAAAGTCAATGAACCATGACTGAAGGTACAGGGCTAAACAATCTCAATAGAAATGAGATGTGCCAATGCTAATACAACTGCATACCAAATACCAATGACTTTTCATAAGTCGTTCCCTTTAAACAAACACTAATTTGTCATGCTTGTAAACTATGTAAAAGTTTCAAAGTCAATGAACCATAATGAAGGGGTGGGGATATATAATCTCCATGAAAATGAAACTTGCAAATGCCAATACATTTGCATACCAATTATCATTGACTTAACATAAGTGGTTCATCTTAAACTGACCTAATCATAAACTAATACATGTAAACTAAGTAAAAATTTCAAAGTCAATAGACCATGACTGTGGGGTAAGGACCATATTCTCCATGGAAATGAGATGTGCTAATGCTTATACAACTGCATACCAATTATAATTGACCTACACTGACGGTTCCCCTTAAACTGACCTAATCACAAACTAATACATGAAAACTAAGCAAAAGTTTCAAAGTCAATAGACCATGACTGAGGGGGCAGGGCCAAATAATCTCCATGGAAACAAGATATGCCACTGCTTATACAACTGCATACCAAATATCATTGACCTACCACTAGTGGTTCCCCATAAACTGACCTAATCACAAACTAATACCAGTATTACCAGTACAAAAACTTCTAGAATTTTGCATAACTTTTTTTTTTTTAAATTTGTGAGATAACCTTCTCCTTTAAACATGTAATAGGTACATATATTAATATGCCATACTGGTATATGTCAGAGACAGCACCTAACATGGCTTTGTAATTCTAAGTCACACATATACTAATGTTCATCTTGTAGTATGTACTCAGACAATAAAATATACCAAATTAATAAGGTAAAAAATGTAATATCAAGTTCAAGATATATCTTATGAATCTTGAACATACAAAAGTTATATGCAATTACCTGAAGCAGAAACAAGTTATCTGACAAACTTTTGGACAGGTACACATCAATCTGGAAAGAAAATATAAACTATATGCATATCATTGCTCATCAAAATAAACACTTTGTTTCAATTTTTCATGCATTGATTTATCATATATTGAGTTGTTGGTTTTCTTATTGAATTTTTTCTCATTTTCATTTTTGTCATAAAGGGCCCTTTTATAGCTGACTATAGCTATACCATATTGGTTTTGTTCATTATTGAAGGTGGAAAGGGAACCTACAGTTGTTTACATCCACATCATTTGGACTCTGGTTAATCATGTTAATAGTTGTCTCATTCACAATCATACCACATCTCCTTATTTTCATATTTAATTTCAGTGACTTGAGTCCACTAATATACATGTAATAGTTCAATGAAAATTCTGACCAAATTGCAATTTGTTTCATCAAATTTAACTGTTTATCTGGTTATATAATTAGAAATTTTAACCAACTGCTGTAAAAAAAACACAGTCAAGCATTCAAAGTGCATAAAAGAACAGAATTCCAATGTCCCCCCACGTGGCTTACATTTTATCTATCCAAGGGCAAAAACTTCTTTTTTCTTTAATTCTTTTTTATAAATTTCTTATAGAAATGAAGGCTTGAGGGCAAATACAATGCAATTTCCAAGGGACATAACTCTTTTAAAATAATTGATAGGCTCTGATTTTCGAAATTGTCCGAGACATTCCTGATATAAACCTGTGATATAAGTTTCATTAAGATCTGGCAAGAACTGTACACATTAGAGTGCTAACAAATTTGCCTCACATGATTCAAATCAAATAAAAAAATGCAACTTACAGTTTATAGAGAGCAGATTTTTCTTTGCAATACACAAGATTACTTATGTTATGGAAATGTAAACATTGGTAAATGCAAGTGCAAGAGTGTGTATATGTGTGTGATTGTTATTTTTCCCTTTTTGGTATAATGTTGATATCCATATAATATATATTGACAGTAGTAGAAAAAATGTAGACAATTATTTAAACTTTGTTTTATTTATCAAAACCCTTAACACCATATATAGTCAGGTGGTGATGTACAGGGATTGTAAAAACCTAACTACTGAAAAAAAAAGGGTTTTTGAAGAAACATCAACATGATCAAGTGAACCAATACTAGATAAGGGGAAATCATTCTATCCAAAAATGAAAAACATGACTATTTCAAAGAAGGGTGTAATAAAATTATTGAACAAGATCAATCCCAACAAAGAAACTGGCCCATATCAAATCTGCAGAAAAGTACTGAAAGAGCTTAGTAATGACATCTCAACCGCAATTACATACATATTTCAGAAATCACTAAACACAGGAAAAATCCCAGATGATTGCATTGGAAACATGCAAATGTTTGTCCTGTATTTAAAGAAGGAGATAAACACAATGCAATAAATTATAGAACTATATCACTCACCTGCATACTTTGTAAAATCATGGAACATATTATAGCCAGTAGTATGATGGATCATTTGGAAAATAATAAAATCTTATACGACCTTCAACATGGATTCCGAGCATCAAGATCATGTGAAACTCAGTTGGTATCATTCATACAGGAACTTGCAAAAAACAATGACAATAACATCCAAACTGAAATAATTGTGATGGACTTTGCCAAAGCATTTGACAAAGTTCCTCACAAAAGACTTCTCTCCAAACTTAAATATTATGGCATTGAATACACCACCTTAAAATGGATAGAAGATTTCCTTACACAAACAGTCATTATTGATGGTGTACAATCAAACAAAATTAATGCAACATCTGGCGTTCCCCAAGGAACAGTTTTGGGTCCTATTCTGTATCTTGTGTACATAAATGACTTCAATGAATATATGAAACATAGCACCCTAAGATTATTTGCAGATGACAGCATAATATACAAAACAATAAGAAACAAAGAAGACACTCAAAAACTGCAAGAAGACCTAACATCAGCAGCAAAATGGGAGAAGGACTGGCTCATGTCTTTCCATCCAGACAAGTGCTCAGTCCTTCAGAAAACAATGAAAAATAAAATGCTCCGCTGGGGTGCAGCTTGATACGACCGCAGAGGTCGAACCCTGAACAGTTGGGGCAAGTATGGACACAACATTCAAGCTTGATACAGCACTGAATTTGGATTGTAATTAAATATTTGACACAGCATAGGTTTCTGACACAGAATGAATGTGGTCTAAGAACTTAAAAAATTTTAATTTATCTATTCAAACCATATCATTATTATTTGCTTTTATATATAAATCAGAAATAACCAATTTAAAATGGAAAATTTTAAAGAAAAAAAAGGAAAAAAAAATCCCCCCCCCCCAAATTTTTTGAACCCCCTTATGATTCATCACCCCCAAACTCAATCCCAGCCTTCCCTTTGTGGTATGGTACCTTGCAGTACACATACATGTGATGGACTGTGAAACTAAGATCAGGAGTTTTGGAGATTAGGACTGAGATCAGGATGTTTTTAATCGACATAAATTCTGTCGTAAATGTAACCGTTGCTGTAGAAATTGTCTGTTAAAGTGTGTTTTCTTCAACTTTCCATCCGAATGTATTATGTTTATAGTACCTTTGTACTTATAAATTTTCTCTATCTTTTTAAACTTTCAACTTGTTCAATCTAACATTCTTCTTTTTCAGTATGTTCTTTAAATTTTTTAGGTCATATCTTTTTTACCATTATTCATTGCAATCAGAACATTTGCTTATCTATCTGCAAGTAGATCTTTTATATTTATCTTCATGCAAGTAGATTTATAATGCATGATAAGTAACACATTCAAACTGTAAACATGGGTCATAGTTATTACATAAATTTCAATTTAAGCCTTGAAAGGAAGTATAGAACCCTCAAATAATTTTCAAATTATTATTTTTTTATTTGTCCTAAAACATTTAAAATCATTTAATTACCATCCTTTTATGATTATTTGTTCATTTTATATTTTATTTATATTCTTTTAAAAATTTACATTATTTAAAGGAAAGTAACTTAAAAACAGGATAAATCAAGGGAAGTAACCCAACATTCATTTTAAATAAACAAAGTTTTATTACACAACGGCAGTTAGCCTAAGGTAAAAATCGTTGATTACCAGTATGTTTGACACCCAAGGTGACAAATGAGGCCATATAATTATGCATGTTAATTGATATACAGGTAAAATATAACTTCAGTAATGTCAATTACACCAGATATGTTGGGCTGAAATTTTTCATTCATGAAATACTTCATACACGGGATTTTTTTGTCTTCAACGGGAGGTCGGGAGGAGACCCCTGAAAACGGGATTATTGTACTCCCGTCGGGAGGTTCACATGTATGAACTGTACAATTTCAGAGAGATCCATACACTTGAACACAAGTTATTGTCTGGAAACAAGAAAAATGCTTGTTTTTTGGCCCCAAATTCCTAAACATTTAGGGCAATTACCCCCAAACTCAAACCCAGCTTTCCTTTTGTGATATGGAACCTTGCAGTACAATTTCATAAAGATCCATACAACTACACACAAGTTATTGTCCTGAAACTAGAAAAATGCTTGTTTTTTTGCCCCTTTATGGCCCCTAATTCCTCAAGTTTCTAGGGAATTACCCCCAAAATCAATCCCAGCCTTCCCTTTGTGGTTTGGTACCTTGCAGTACAATTTCAGAGAGATCCATACACTTGAACACAAGTTATTGTCTGGAAACTAGAAAAATGCTTATTTTTGGCCCCTTATTCCTAAACGTTGTGGGCAATTACCCCCAAAATCAATTCCAGCTTTCCCTTTGTGATATGGAACCTTGTAGTACAATTTCATAAAGATCCATACACTTACAAGTTATTGTCATGAAACTAGAAAAATGCTTGTTTTTTGCCCCTTTTTGGCCCCTTATTCCTAAAATTTGGAGGCAATTACCCCCAAAATCAATCCCAGCATTCCCTTTGTGATATGGAACCTTATGGTACTATGTCAGAGAGATCCATACACTTACACAGAAGTTATTGTCATGAAACTAGAAAAATGCTTGTTTTTTTCCCCTTTTTGGCCCCTAATTCCTAAAATTTGGAGGCAATTACCCCCCAATAATCAATCCCAGCATTCCCTTTGTGATATGGAACCTTGTGGTACAATGTCAGAGAGATCCATACACTAACACACAAGTTATGTCTGGAAGTTACAAAAATGCTTATTTTTGGCCCCTAATTCCTTAACTGTTGGTACCATAACCCCCAAAATCAATCCCCACCTTCCTTTTGTGGTATTGAACCTTATGGTAAAAATTCATAGAGATCCATTCACTTAAACTAAAGTTAGAGTGCGAAAACCAATGTGTCTTTGGACGACGACGCCGGAGACGACGACGACGCCAACGTCATACCAATATACGACCACAAAATTTTTTTGCAGTCGTAAAAAAAACCAATAAAATTTGATTACACTCTCCACCAACATATACTGCAAAAAGAAAAATCCACAAAATATCTTGGCATAAATAAAGGCAACAGTAGTATACCGCTGTTAGAAACTCATAAATCGATAGAGATAAAAACAAATCCGGGTTACAAACTAAAACTGAGGGAAACGCATCAAATATAAGAGGAGAACAACGACACAACAAAAACACAACATTAAAATGTAACACACACAGAAACGAACTATAATATAACAATTGCCATTTCCTGACTTGGTACAGGACATTTTAAGAAAAAAATGGTGGGTTGAACCTGGTTTTGTGGCATGCCAAACCTCCGGCTTTTATGGCAACGTCAAACACAACACCAAAACGACGACATCACATGACAGGACCACAATACAAATAAATGGGAGAACATATAGGACAAAGAAACACACGAATAATAGCTAGCAGAAGGTACTAGGCTTAAAATTCAATACGCCAGACGTGCGTCTCGTCCACACAAGACCAACCAGTGACGCTCAGATAAAAAAAGTTTGAAAGCCAAAACAAGTACAAAGCTGAAGACAATACAAACAGACTTAAAATGGAACAAACATATTAATAATATTACA